TGATGAATGGATTCCGGCTTGGGAGTGAACACCCGATGAGCTCTGAATACCAGATGAAGAGTGCACTGCGCCGGATGACGATGGGACTCCGTGCATCGATGATGACGAATGAGCGCCGGATGAGGGAACATTTGCGTAGTTATAAACGCCTGATGAGTGCCACGATTGACTTGGAACTGATGGATATACTCCACTTGGATGCCCCACTGTCGAGTGGTGAACTCCAGATGTTGAATGCATTCCCGACGATGTGTGAACATCCGATGCATGGTGATTTAGTGATGATGAGTGCGATCCCGACGGATGTTGGCCGCCAACTGAGGAATCTACTCCCGAAGGATGATGAACGGATGGGTGTTGAACGTGTGAATGGTGGCCTTGCGATGGTTTCCCGACGTTTGAGTGATGTGCCGAGCCCTGAGAAGCTGATGATGGGTACAGTTGAATGAATGGATTACCAGTTGGATGTTGGTGAGGTCTTCTAGTTGTGCTCGAGATATAAATATGAGCATTGGAAGGCCGTTGCGTTACTGGCGCAGGCGCTACATGCACATATGATGATGGGACATATTCCGGTACTACGATGTTGCGTGGCAGCGTCGGCTGAGATCGGCTGTACGTAGCTGCAATGAAAATACGGGGATATAATGAGTTACTGTAAACTATGTACATATGTATGTGTGTGTATAACTTATTTCGAATTCTGGCTTTTAAAAATATGTAAAGTGGAATCTTAATATCAAATTAGCTTATGATAACTTACCTGAATCCTGACGGAAACCATTTTGATCGGCTGTGTAGAAGACGGTTAGGTATTTGTCGTTTGTCATTGGGTAAGAGTAGTAACCCTTGCGTGCAAGTACCATATTTTTACCATTAGGAATCCAATATGCGCGTTCATATCGGGCATCGCCATTGCTGAGTACATATCTGTTAAGAAAAATAATACAATTTCAAAAACATTGACCCACAAAAAAGCTGTTTGTGCAACTGTTTGTCGAACACAAGTAGTTTATTTCATGTAGATGTAATTTGGATAATTGAATCGAAATCTGAAATTAAGCGGCCATTGGATAGCGTGTTTCCTTATTATTATCTCAAAAAACCTTCCATAAATCTCTCAAATTTGCATTTTTTTACAAAGTTAGCAAATTTGGTACAAAAAAAATATATATTTTTTTTAATTTTTTTTTGTTAAAATTTTTTGTATGGGGAATGAGTCTACTCAATTAGCATAAATTTTGTGTCGCGGAATTCGTATAAAAAAACTATGCTTAATTTCACTTTCTAACCTCACATAAACTTTTGTTTTTAGTTTCTCCGTCAAAAAATTAGTGAATTCTTATACATTTTGGATCACCTGAATCTAATTATAGCCTCAAAAAATTTCTCTCAAATGCACCAAGTTTTACTTTCCTATATATACATTTTCGATCGCTGAATTTATTAATTTTTTTAAATTTTATTTTTTTTTTTAATTTATTTTTTTTATTTAAATTTCCAATCATTTCCATTTCCTAACCTCAAAAAAAAAGAATAAAAAAACAACAACTTTGGATTCATGGAACCAAAACTTTTAAAATTTACTTATCTTCTTGGCCGGACAAACGAAGTGAAAAATTGTTAATGCTATGTATGAAACTGACAAATCTACTACTACTCATTAGCTTCTCTACATACACATAGTAGAGCTCAACGCTACTGGAGTATCACAATCATTATTTGAGTACTATTGGATCTCACTAAACTCTTTACAACCGACTTTTATGCTCGCTTGTGTGCTTTTCTTCCTATGCATGACCACTCCATCTTAGCTTCATATGCACTCATTCGCACCTCGACATTGTCTTTAATTTAA